GCTAGGATTACAGGCGTGAGCCACCGCGCCCGGCCTCTATTACTTTTATTTAAAGCATGTGCTTACAATAAAATACATATCTAAATCAGAGCTTTCCTTAAAAATCCAGATTCCTGGCTTCTCTTGGAAGCAGGAAATTGGACGAAGCGATGACTTCGCTGGCCCTTCCCACACAGCACGGTCAGTGGAGCCCAGGGGCTGTCCCTTCAGATGGCAGGTGTGGGTGCTCCGCTGCTCCATCGGCCCTTGCTTCTCCACTCTTCCCCACCTGCTCCCCTCATTTGTGTTTCCCATCGGGGGCCTCTGGTGATCTCCATGCAGTCTCTGACACCCTCACCCTGCCTGTCACCAAGCAGAAGCCTAGATATGGCCCCAGACTGCCCCTCTCCCCCTTCCACCCCCACCCTCAAAACCGACTCCTGTTGACTTCATCTCCTAAATACCTTCCAAATCCTCCACAGCCAAGCTCCTCAGGCTGTGTGGGGTTATCCCCTGGCCCATGGGGCTCTTTGGCACTTATTCAGGGGGGATGTGAGGAGGGTCTTTCTCTTCCTCTCCCAGATGGAGAGATGGTTGGGCGAATTCGTTATTGTTGCTGTTATTATGACTCCTACTACTGCACCCACCAACCTCTGCCCAGTTCTCTCTCCATGAACACCACCACCACCAGCAACATTTGTTGAGCATATATTATGTGCCAGGCACTGCTCTAAGTGCTTTTCATGCCTTATCTCCCTTTAACCCTGCAAGAGCCTGGTGAGGCAGGCCCTGTCTTCTTGGGAACTTTACTGATAAGGAAACAGGCTCAGACCTTGCCAAGGTTTCCTGGGCAGGGGTAGCAGAGTGGGGCCTGGCCCCTTTAATCCCTCCATCTGCCACTCACAGCTTTTCCCGCTGAGATCTCTTTCCTCCGGACCACCCACCCCTTCCCAAAGGCCCGCAGGGGATCCAGTGCTGGTGGCCTGACCTTTGCGGCAGTAGGTGGTGGTCTGGCAATGCTCGTCTGGCAGGCAGGCCTTGACAGTGTCCATGTCCATGCGGCGCAGGGTGGGCAGGGCTGGGTGGTAGAGCTGCCTCTTCACGCTGGCCAGCTGCCTGTGCTGCCGCTCCAGCGGGAGCGGGATGACGGGGGATGCACACACGTGATTGCAACGATCGTCCCAGGGCACCGGGTCGATGATGTGGGCCATAGCTGGGGAGTAGAGGGTAGTAAGGGGCCCACCCTGGGCTCATGCCAGCCAGACACCCTTCTATGCAGGAACACAACCGTGGCCAGTCCTGATTTGTTTTCTTGTCAGACACTTATTGAGCACCTACTGTGTGCCAGGACACTTTTCAGGAGCTCAGCATGTGGTGGCAGGAACACTCAGACAACAGAGAGACACCCCCCGCCAAACACATACAGGATGTGCTAGGGTCTGGGAGGGAGGTCAGTACAGAGTGTGTGTCTGGGGGTGCTGGGGTTGGGGCATTCAAGGAATGGTCTAAAAGAGGTGGCATCTGAGTCTATTCTGAAATAACAAGCAGGAAAGGGCAGCAGAAGTGGGTTCAGAATGTAGCTCAGTGTGCTGTATGCCTCTGGGTGAATAACTGTGGACTTGCCTTAGCTAAAGTATCTGGCATTTCAAAATTCTCAGAGAGACATAAGAAAGTTTTAAAGAAGGGGAGTGACACGATAGACTTGAACTAGAAAAACATTGCTGGTTACCCAGTGCCTCCTTTTAAAAAGCAGATGTTCCCAGGAGCCTTCCAGTCATTTACACTTTAGTGAGAATTTGTTGACTCAGCTTGCTTTCTTCCTGACCCTGAATTAGAAGTCAGAGATGAAGGTGGGAGATAGGTGGGCAGGAGAGAAGGCCTTGGACCCTGGAGGAACAGGGAGTGAGCATAGTGACAAGGCAGGGGGAAGCTTCCCAGAAGTGACTGCATGGGGCGGGGCAGAGAAGTGGAGCACAGAGAGTGGGGAGAGAGGGCTACCGGCTTCTGACCCACCGACAGTGGCTATCTCACCTTCAGGGCAGAGGCCCGGGCGCACAGGATTATGAGGACTTTCAGCTATTTGACTGCTTAATGGGCAGAAGAGGCAGGGAGGTTGGACCAGATCCCGGTGCCTTATAGACAGCAGCAGAATAAAGGAGCATTGTGCAGTGACAATGCCCATTGCAGCCTGATTGTGAGGCTCCCACTCTTTGGCAACCTCGGCAACCACAGGCTCTGAGAAGGGCCACTGCCAGAATCCTGTGCACTGGCCACGTCCTTTCAGCCCTTCCTGAAGGCTGTGGTTTCCCAGGCTTCAGCACAGGCCAGGCATCTTGGGAAATGTCAGACAGGCGGCCATGCCAGGGCAGGCCAGGGATGGCTGCTGAGCCCACACCAGGAAGGCTGTGTGAGCCTGGACTAGTCTCTGTCTCTCTCAGGGCCTTGAGGCTCCCCTCTGTGTTAGGCAAGGGCTCTAGCCCCTGCATCGGGGTGTCTGGGGGCTGGGAGGGCTCTGCCCTCCCTGCAAACCTCAGGGAAGCGGGCACTGCACTGTCTGCCAGCCCTTGGGTCTCCAGCGGGTGGAGATTAGCTGTGGCCAGTATCCAGGGTTTGCGTGAGGGGATCAGGGAGAGTGGTGGCCTCAGCAGGCCAGGGATTAGCAGGTGATACTCCACCCCAGCCGCCTGCAGGACTGCACGCTTCCTCCCTTCCTGCAAAGTCAGGCTGGGAGTGCCTGAGCCCAGCACCCCGAAGCCCTGGGGCCTGCCCTCCACCCTGGTCACGACCATTAGAGACAGACCCCTAAGGCGAGGAAACCCTGGAAAAGCCAAACTTATTTGCTTATATTGGCATATGCTTTGCATATACCTGCCCAGGTGCTGAGCCTAACTGGTCCTGTGAGATTCCTGCAGGATTTGGTTCCCTGGTTGCTCCTCCTCCAGTGCTCCACGCAGCCCCCAGAGCAGCAGCCCCGAGTCCTACCCCTTACAGAAAACTTTCCCAGAGTTGACTCCACTCGCTACTCAACCCCCAATTTATTTTTTGACTCTTTAAAAATGATAAAATAGAAGAAAATATGGAACATGCATAATATGTAACATAACTAGAATAATAATTTATGAAGTGAGACCCCATGTAACTATCACCCAGGTCAAGACATGGGGTACTCCTTTGCAAAACAGTTTACCACTTTTTTTTTTTTTGAGACAGAGTCTCACTCTGTTGCCTGGGCTAGAGTGCCATGGTGTCAGCCTCGCTCACAGCAACCTCAGACTCCTGGGCTCAAGTGATCCTCCTGCCTCAGCCTCCTGAGTAGCTAGGACTACAGGCATGTGCCACCATGCCCAGCTAATTTTTTCTATATATATTTTTAGCTGTCCAATTAATTTCTTTCTATTTTTGGTAGAGACGGGGTCTTGCTCTTGCTCAGGCTGGTCTCGAACTCGTGAGCTCAAACGATCCACATGCCTTGGCCTCCCAGAGTGCTAGGATTACAGGCGTGAGCCACCGCGCCCGGCCTGAGCCACCGTGCCCGGCCAGCACTTTCTTAAAAGGTGAAACAAATTTTCCATACGACTGGGTCATATGGAAGATCCTACCCCTAGGAATCTTCTGGAGAGAAATGACAGTATATGTCCACCCAAAGACTTGCGTGCAAATGTTCATAGCAACATTATTTAGAGTCCCAAAGTGGCTATAGATGCAAGTGTCCACTGACTGGTGAGTGGATAAACCAACCTTGGTGTATCTATACGATGTAATACTCTTGCACAATAAATAAATAAAATACTGATACATGCTATCAGGTGGATGAACCTCCGAAACATTGTGCTGCATGACAGAAACCAGACATAAAAACCCCACCTGTTGTATGATCCATTTATATTAATGTAAAATGTCCAGCAAAGGCAAGTCTGTAGACACAGAAAGCAGATTCATGGTTGCCTGGGGCCAGAGACTAGACATGGAGAGGGAGTGTCACCCAGCATGAGGGATCTTATTAGGGAGACAGAAATGTTCTAAAACTAGATGGTGGGATAGTTGCCTAGTTCAATCCATTTACTGAAAAATCAAGCTGTACACTTAAAATGGGCAAATTTTATGGCATATAAATTATACCTCCATAAAATTGTTTTTAAAAATAGATGCCAGCTAAATTAATAAAAGAAAGCAAGGCATTGACCCTGCCAGTCCCTGGAAGCCACCACATACGCCTCCCCAGTCACAACCCCCTGCAAGAGGGAGACCCACTTTCCTGCCTTATAGTATACCGCTGCTTTTCATTATAGTTTTTCTACCCATGGTTGCAGCCATAGACAAAACAGGTTAATTTTGCCGTTTGCGGACTTTGTGCACATGGACCGCCAGGGGCTTTTGAATCTGGCTTCTCTCCCTGCGTGTGTACGCACATGAGATTCGCTGCGTGGTGAGACCGTGGTGTGCGGCTGTGGCTTGTTCATTTTGCTCACCCTGAGCCCATTACTTTTCATCCTGGCCCCAAACTCTGCCCTCCCTCCCCGCTCTGCAGGGCTCCAAGCCCAGGGCGCCCCTTGGGCCTCAGCTCATGCAGCCACTGTCTGACTACTCCCCGGCCCAACACAGCCACTGCCCTTGGCCTTCACCTCGCCCCATGCTCCTGGCAGCTCCTCAGCCTCCTCTGCTAGCTCCTGCTCTCACCCTACCCTCTGAGTGGGCCACAGTGTTCCAGGTGCTGCCTCTGGTCCTCCCCTCATTTACCCTGGATTCCCCAGGTGATCTCAGTCGGCCCCAGGGCCTTAAGCATCATCTACAAGCCGACGCCTCCAAAATTTCCATCTCCAGTTCACGTCTCCCTAAGCCACACACACACACACACACACACACACACACACACACACACACACCACCCTTCGCCACCTACTGCTGGTTTCCAGCTGGATCTGGATGTTTCTCAGACATCTTAACAAAGTAGAGTTCATGATTTCCCCCCAAAACTTGTCCTCCCAACCTCCAGCCCCGGGCCTCCCCTTTGTAGTAAATGTGCCATCAGCCACCAGTTGCCCAAGCTGAGCACCCTTTTCCATCCCCTTTCACTTCTGTCTCAGCCCTGGCAGAGCCCAAGCCACAGAAGATGCTGAGCTACAGGGAACCTGCCTGAACCCTGGCATCGGGGCTGGAAACCGCCACTGCTGAGAGTTGGCAAGCCCCTGCCACCTTGAGGAGTCTCCAGGAATCACATGGGGACTCCAAGCTGTTATTCTCCTGCCAGCCACTCTGTGGCTTGGCCAGGGTATGTGGGAAACTGGGTCTCTGGTACCTGGGGAGGTCCCCTGGCAACCCATGGCACCCCAAACCTGGGACCCACATCCCTGTTGGACACTGGGGGGTTGCTGCTTGTTCCCTGGGCATCAGCCACCTCTTTTCTACCCTGCCCCCATTCGGCATCTGCTAATCCTTTGCACACGGCCCGGCTACTGCCAATTAATCCCCCTTGGGTCTGAGAGGCCAGCTCTAAGTGGCAGCGAGAAGGCAATTGCTGGCTGGCGGTTGGCATCTGAGCAGGTAACTCAGGATGAGGTAGAGGCTCGGTGGGACCCCTGGTGGGATCCCCACGTTCTCCCTCTAGCAAGGCCTTTGGGCAGGATGAGACAGACATGGTGGGGGGCCCGCAGCTTCCCTCTCCCCCCGTGGAGCTCAACTTTAGCGTGCATCAGAATCTTCAGGGCAGCTTGTGACGTGTGAGTTCCAGTTCCCCGCAGAGGGTTTGGGGAGCCTAGGAATCTGTATTTTCACCAGCTGCCCAGAAGATTCTGAAAACACAGGTGGTCCAACCCCTGGTTCTCTGAGCTGCCACTCCCAGGTCCCCCTTTCCCTCTGAGTCTCCCTTACCAAAGTGGAGTCAGCAGGGACATGGCAGAAAGGTGGGAGGGACTTATAAAAATCCCTATCCAGGAGGAAATGGCTGAGACTGGGGGAAGAAGAAAAATTGGGGGTGTGAGAGGCTTCCCTAGGCATTTCCAGAAGGTTCGAAAATGCAAGCCTGAGTGGCTGCCTCCTGGGAGAGGGTCTACAGGTCCAGCCTACAGAAGAGGCCAATACTCAGCAAATGCCAGGACCACCCGGGGCTAGGTGTGGGGCAGGCTCTGTGTAAACTCCGCTTGGCCCCTTGCTGGCCATGTCACCTCAGGCAAATCTGTTGACCTTTCTGTGCTCTGTAATGACAACCCTTATTTTCCTGGGGGTGGGGGGCGTGGTGGTGAGAGCGAGGATGAGTGTGGTTGTGGGTGGAGAGCACTTAGCTCAGTTCTGGCTCTTGGGGCTACCTGTGACCTGCTGGGGTCTGTGGAATCTGCCATCCCAGCATGTGACCTTGGGCAGTCCTGATGTGGGAGATCACTGTGTCTGCATCCCCCCACAAGGAAAGGGAAGGCCAGAGGGGTCATGTCTGGCCCAAGTTCACGTTTTGGATGCTGAGCCAGGGATCTGACACCTCACCAAGGGCTCTGCCTCCACCACAGGCTCTCATGGTCTCCCATGAGACCTGGGCTGCTGAGGCCAGAGCAGGGACGGAGGGCAGGGCAGGGATCCTGGGGCCAGGGTCCCTGGCAGAGAGAGGCATAGACACACTCTGCCAATGCCTGGGCTGCCCGTGGCTGGGGGAGGGCTGGGGCACACCCGTGTTGGGCATGGCCTTGGAAGGGCCCATCCAGGCCTGAGAGTTTGCACACATTGACCTGTATGGTGCCAGCTGGGCCAGGCCATCCCTCAGGGATTCGGTCATAGGACTGGGGCTCCCCATTCCCCAAAGATAAATGAACCAGAAACTGAACCTCTATAAGGTAGGACTGAAATATCACAGTAAACCGTGAAAAGAGGTTTACCTGGCATTTTATCTTAAAAATTAAAAATCATGAGCATAGGTTAATTTTATCTTAAACAAAATAGATTTTCCATTCCTATGTTACTCATAATGTATATTTTACAATGGCATTATGTAGCACATGATATTTGACAATTAGAGTTTTCACTGGACACCACGTAATAGTCATAGCCAACATTTATTAAGCTCTTAGCATGTGTCAGTCACTGTTCTGAGTATGTTGCACTTATCAATTCATTTCATCCTCACAATCGACCCGTGAGGTAGGTACTATTAATATCCCCATTTTACAGACAGACAAATGGAGGCACAGAGAGTTCAACTGATCTGCTTACGACTTGACTCCAGAGCATGTATATCTTCTCATGTTAGTTCAAATAGATTTGCTTCTTTCTTTTTAACGGCTCCATAATATTCCATTACTGAATGTGTCATAATTTATTTAATACACCCCCCTCTTACACGTGAACATCTGGGTACTTTGCAATAACCAGTCTCCTCTTGATGAGTATTTGGGTGTTTTTCATCCTTTGCTATGTCATTGCTGCAACCAGCCTGTTTATACACATGTATGTATGGCCTTGAGTAATTCTATAAGGTAAACACCTAGATCTAATTGTAGAAATATTTTTAAATATCATGGGAGGAAAAGGAAGTGTGCAACTCACAGAAGTGGCCCGTAAATGGTGGCAGCCATCGTGAGCACTCTGGGGAGGTCTAAGGACTGTGTCTCTTACAGGCATCAGGATGTTGGGCTGGGTCCAGAGGGTGCTGCCCCAGCCCCCAGGGCCCCCTCAGAAGACCAAGATGGAGGAAGAGGAGGAGGCGGAACCAGAGCCAGAGCCAGAGCCAGAGATAGAACCAGAGCCAGAGCCTGAAACAGCCCCTGGGGAGGCCGAGCCAGAGGCCGAGTCCACGGTGAGACACGGAGAGAGCAAGAAGGGGCAGGCTGGCCTTGCTGCGTGGGGACTTCCAGCCTGAGCCGTCTGCTCTCTGTGGGCCTTCTAAACAGTTGGAGCCAGACGGAGATGTGGCAGTCCCTGGTCCAGTACTCGTACCAATGAGGAAGCTCAGGCCCAGAAAGTGGACTGCCCAAGGCCAGCTTTTTCTGTAAAAGGCTAGGTGGTAAATATTTTAGGCTTTGTGGGTCATGCCATCTCTGTTAATCACTCAACTCTACCATTAGAGTGTGAAAACGGCCATAGATGATGCATATGCAAATAAGCATAGGTGTGTTCCAATAAAACTTTATTTACAAAAATAAGCAACAGGCTGTATTTGGCCCACAGGCCATATTTTGCCAGACTTTAGAGTCCAGAACAGAGCTACTCAAAGGAGGCGGTCCATGGACTGTTTGTTTCCAGTCCATGCTGAGGCTAGGAGCTTGCACTGGAATGTAAATCTGCTATGCAGCTAAGCACACTGCTAAGTTCAGTTGCTGTTAATATTTGTTTTGTAGTAAGACTTTGTCGATGAAGGAAGCAGTGCACCGATACACATTCTGATACAAACTGCTTAGTCATCATGGGCCAGTAACAGTTTGAAGAGCATTGCTCTAGAACTTTCCTTTGAGCACATCAGAACTTGCCAGTTCTGCATTCTATCCATTCAGGAGCCTGATGACAACGAATTCAGCAGCTCAGTTCAACAGATTCGATTTAGCTTCTAATAGATGCCAGGCCCTGTGCTCAGTGCCGATGGCATAAAGATGAACAAGGCATTGCACCTGGGGATTAGCAGAAAAGTACCTTGGAGTTCATTCTGCCAAGAGATGCAGGTGATGAGGGAGTATGGTGAGCTCCAGCACTGACCTGGGCTCTACCCTCTGCGAGGGCCATATGAGTGTGTCAGATGGAGAGCTCCTGGGGCTCTGGAGAGGGAGAGTCATTTAACTTTGGAGATTGGAAGCTGGTGGGGGAGTCCTTCCTAGACACAGAGGGCAGAGCAGAAGTGGAGGAAGACAGAGAGGTAGGGGCATTCCTGGCAGAGGGAAGGTCATTACTGGAGTAGTGCAGGGTGTGTTTGGGAAATAGGTATAGGGTTCGTGTGTGTGTTGCATGTGTACACGTGCGTATGTACACATATGTGTGTGGTGTTCCTTAGTGGTATGTTTGTATACATACATGTGCATTTGCAAACTGTGCACGCCAATGTGTGTGTACATTTATATGTGCAAGTATGCATGTGCATGTGTGTACACATATGTTTATGTGTATGTGCATAAGTTTTAGTGTATCTGTGTGTACCTGTGTTCTATGTGCACACAGGCATGCTAGGGTGTTTAACTGTGTGTATATATTCATGTATCTGAGTATGTGAATGTATTCATGTGTTTGTATGTGTGTGCATGTGTTTGTGCATTTGTGCATGTATTGTGTGTATGCACATATTTGCATGCCTCAACATGTGTATATATGTGTGTTTGTGCATGTATGCTCACGCATGGGTTTAGATGCAGAAGTTTGTGTGCACGTGAATGTATGCATGTACATATGCAAATGTTCGTGTCTTACAAATATGCACATGTATGTATATATGCTTATGTTTATGTGACTGAATACATGTGCATGTGCGTATACACGTTTCTGCATCTATGTATATACGCAAATGTATCTGTATGCATATGAACATGTTTGTGTGCCCCTATGCTGGCAGGTATATGCGTGTGTGTGTCTGCATGCACATGTGTGTGTATATACACGTTTGTATGTTCCTATACACATGTGCATGTGTGTTGGGGATATGCATGCCTATGTATGTGCAAATGTATATGCACACACATTTTGTGACTGTACATGTATGCATATGCACTTATTTTTGTCTGTGCATTTATATACACATTTGTGCATCACTGTATGTATGCATGTGTATGTGTGTATATGCTCATATTTGTGTCTGTGCATGCATGTAAACATATGTGAGAGTGAGTATGCTCATGTGTGTTTTTGTATGTATGCATGTATATGTTTGCACATGCACATATGTGCATGCAGTAGCAGGAGGCGTGGCTGCAGAGGCAGGTGACAGGCAGATGGACAGGGTAACTCTACCTGGCCACTAGAGAGGAATGGAAAGTTTGGGCCAGAAAGAGAGGGAGGGTCCTGGTTGGGTGAGGGGGATGGGCTCCTCTCGCCTCCCTCTTCCCCCCGCAGCTTGCCCCAAGCCTTCACGACTGTCTCTAACTGTTCCTCCTCTTCCTAGGCCACTAAAGTGGGGCGGTTTGCTGAGGGACGTGATCGGCCTGGGAGGCCACCTTGAGGGGTGTGAGGGCCCCAGCCATGGATGAAGGGCCCCTGGGGCTGGGAGGAAAGGAGTGTCCCTGGGTGGAAGGGGAGGCTCCCAGGATTTACAAGGACAATTGTGAGAATAGAGTCGTTCAGTCCTTTGGGGAGTGGAGTTCCCTCATGGGTGAATCAGGGGCTGCCCCTGTCTAAACCAGGCCGGTCTCACCTAGGGCTTACATGGTCCTGTTTAAATCCTCTAGCCCCCTGAAGAGCCGCACAAAGAGGAGGAGGAAGTGGCTGAGGCTGACCCAAGCCCTCAGGGTGAGTGCTGGAAGCCCAGGCTGGCAGAGCCTTGCAGCAGCCCACGTGGCTGGCAGGCCCATTTCACAGATGTGGAAACTGAGGCTTAGAGAAGCTGAGGCTGGGCTCCTGGAGATTTTCAGCTGAGCTGACCTGGAGCCCTGTTCTTCTGACCCCTTGGGGTTCTCCCCTCTGCCTCTGACTTCACCTCCCCAGCAGGGTAGCAAAGGGCCTCTCTGAAGCCCTAGATCTAAAGTATGGGGGATTCTTTTCCAGAGATCCAGGAGGCTGTCCCTACTCCGCCTACATCCCTGCAGGCCCAGGTCACTGTGGTTCCTGAAGTGAACAGGTAAACACCAGCCTCCCCTATCCTCAGGGTCAGCCCCCCCACTTCCCTCCCAGCTAGGGAGCCTGGGGGAAGTGGGGAATGGGCACTGTAGTCACTGAGGACAAAGGCCCCGTGACATCCCCAGGACATTCAGGGAGAGGGTGGGCGTCTCCTGGGCCAAATGGGCAATGTGACCAAGAGACACAGAGGGTGGTAGCTACACTAATGAGCACCCCCTCTACGGGCGCAGAAGTTTCCCAGTGCTTGGGTGAGGTCCAGGTCCAACGTGCCAGAGCTTCTGATTTTCCCAGAGAAACCAGAAATCCAGGCTTTTGCATGGAATCTCCCAGGTGGCTCAGATGTTTCAGACCACAAGTGCCTGCCTTCCTGAGCCTGGCTGGGCGGGGCTGGCCTCAGTCAGTGGGTCTGTGGCCCTCACATTTAGGGTGCTCAGCCTTAGCTGTGGGGTACACCCCATAAAGCCTTGGCTCCAGGAGCCAGATGTGCGCCAAGTGCAGGTGGGGCCCCTGGGGCTGGCGGGGAGGCGGGATGAGAGAGCCCTGGCCACTGTGTCCCGAGCATGCCATAGGGGTGGGCTCCTAATGGCACTGGGCATACCTGGTCTCCTGAAGCCCTGATGTCCCTCATTTTCCAGAGGAGGACACAAGGACGGGGGGAGGTGGCATGTCTGAAGTCTACAGTGGGGAAACAGTGGTTTGGGATTCCAACCAAGTTCTTCAGGACACTGTGGGCTGCCACGCGGACCAGGGAGGGTGAGGGGGGCTGAGGGTAGGCTGTCCCTCTGTCCATCCGCAGTCCCAGCGGCCGGGTGCTGACCTGGCTCTGGAAGGGCGTAGAGAAGGTTGTCCCGCAGCCCGTCTACAGCAG